AACGATTTCATTGACTTTTTGTGGGTATAAACACCAAAACTATGATTTTTTTTATTTATTTTTTATCTGTAAAGATTCGATAATTGCTAATCACGTAATTTTTGGGAGGGCAACTTTTACTTTATTGAATTGTAATAGTGCTACACACGAGTACATGATTTTAGCCTTCAAAAATAAATAAAGTAGAAATAACTGCCCGCAATTCTCCTTTTTTTAACCGATGGAAAGACTTGGTTCCTCAAAAATTGAGGAAGAACTCTTTTTAAAGATATCTCGTGGTTTATTTACAGAATTTGAAGTTTATGTTCTGAACTATTCATATTATAAATTACTATTCAAATTTTACCTGTACAAAAAATCAGTTAAAGTTAAGGTTATAAATAGTCATCAAATTGTATAAAAATAAAAGTATGAATTTGGTAAAAATATTATGAACCGTCAATCTAGTTGTTATATTTGGTTGACTAAGGCATCTTAGTTTAATTGATTTTTTGCAGAGATGATATTTACAGAGTGATTTATAATATGAGCGGTTTCAATCATAAGCACGAAGTTCTGTGAATAGATACGAAGTATTTTGAGGAGAAGCTCCTCCTTAACCAATCCAATGGATTAGGAAAAAAAAAATTCAAATAAGATATTTTAAACGCAAAGAATTGAAACTTCGACTAAAGTTGGTATTGGAGGGTAATATTTGTGAGAGTCAATTCTACATCAATTGAATTGAAACTTCGCCACAAACGGGATGTTTGAAAGTGTTTTCATAATGGTTAAATGCTTTCAAATTTATAACATTGTATTAATAGAACCTTCTTGATTAACCGGAAAAAAAAAAAAAAAAAAAGACGATTTTTCCTCTATTCTTAATTCAATAAAAAAAATCATGAACATTTAAGATAATTTTGCAGAAAAAAGAAATTTTTTTTTCTCTTTCCTAACTCACATGTCATCTCATAAGCATTTTCAATAAAAATAAAAAATAAAAACCCCCCGACGTTCTCTCTCCATTTTCCACAGTGTGTGTGGGCTCCATTTAGTAACCAAATATATTTTCATAAATATGCTTAGTATTAAAAGAAAACTAATGAAAAATGTTTGAAAACTTTGAGTTTTAATGATAAGGACAAAATAAAGAGTAAAATGAATAGTATCAGGATTGACTTTTTAGTGTAAAAATGTGGTTTTTCGATAAAATGAATAATACCGAAAGATTTTCAGTTAAAATTCCCTAATTTTAAACTAATTTATCAACTTTTTATTATGATTGATTAACTAACGAATCATGACATCATGTATACAATGTCAAGCACTAAGAACCAAACTATCTCCACATTAGCTAAACTACAACAAATTTGGCACTATCACTAATTATCAAGGGCTTTTTGACAAATGCTTTTAAATGATTAAAAGTGTTTTTAAAGAAAATATTTTTGGGTTTTAAAAGCACTTGCAGTGCTTCATGCTAAAGCACCAATTATGTGTTTCTTACTGAAAGGTCTTCAAGTGCTTTTTCAAAATTAACTTGCATTTTTACTAAAGTTCGTTTCAAAACATTTTATCCAAAAGTATTTTCAGTCGTTTAAAAACACTTGTCAAATGACCCCTAAGTTATTAACAATATTTGGCAAAGATGTTTTCAAGTGCTTTCTTGAAAATCACTTTTTTGATGAAATTTCAACGCACTTATGACTGTTTTCAAAGAAGCATTTTCAGATAAGTGCATGGTTACCAACTATAAACCACTCACCAGTATTCTACAACAAAAATGATTATTATATTTAAATTCTGCGTACGAGGTGTTCCAAATATAAATAAATAAAATAATTGCGGACAGACACAGGTCACAGAGAGAGCGTCTCCATCGGTTAACGACATTTCGAAAATCCTCGTAAAAATACCGCGTACTCCTCTCTCCATCTCCAAATCCCCCGATCGCCTCCTTCTCCCCCACTCCATATAAATACACCTCCCTCTCTCTCCTCTCTCCTCTCTCTCTCTACACACAGAGCTATCAACCAACAACAATGGGAATCTCAGTCCCCAGCTTTTTCAAAGAGCGAAAGTTCCCTTTCGTTTTCACACTCTTGCTCCCACTCGCCTGCATCGCCATCCTCCTCTTCACCAACATCACCACCAACGCCCCTTACCCTCTCTTCTTCTACTCCGATCTCCGGACCTCCCCCTCCTCCTCCCAACCCATCTCTCCTCCCGCGCCCTCCAACCCCGCCGGAGAGCCGCCCCAAGGGGACGAACTCGTTTGGGAGGAACCCACTTTCCCTGTTTCTGGGATTCCCAATTGGAACCTCTGTACGGGTCCGGTGGCCGTCGATTACATTCCGTGCTTGGACAATTCCAAGGCGATCAAGGAGTTGAAGTCGCGCCGGCATATGGAGCACCGCGAGCGGCATTGCCCCAAGCCGCCCCCGCGGTGCCTGGAGCCGCTTCCCAAAGGGTACAAGGTGCCGGTTCCGTGGCCTCAGAGCAGGGACATGGTGAGATTTGTACTTTGGTAAGATTTGTTTCTGGTTTTTCTCAAATGGGTTTTGTTGATTTGTTTCAAGAAGGTGGGTGATTTGGTTTGTTCTTGGATTTTCTCAAATGGGTTTGTTGATTTGAATGAAGAACATGGGTGATTCGGTTCGTTGTTGGATTGAATTTAATTTTCGGAGAAAAAAATCATGATTTTCCTTTCTGGGAAAGTGTTTGTGGAAATGTGAAGTGGTTGTTGGCTTATTCTGTTTACTTTCACTCAATAATGTATTGGTGATGTTCTCTGTTTCCAGATATGGTATGACAATGTTCCTCACCCGAAGCTCGTCGAGTACAAGAAGGACCAAAACTGGGTGAAGAAGTCCGATGACTATCTTATTTTCCCCGGAGGCGGTACTCAGTTTAAGGACGGAGTTGATCACTACACCGATTTCATCGAAAAGGTACAGCGCTGGCCGGCTTTGCAGCTTTCGGGTTTACATTGCTTTAGAAATGTTGATTGGTTTCTCTTTGTTTTCGTTCTAGACTTTACCGGTTATTGAATGGGGGAGGCACGTCAGGGTTGTTTTGGACGTTGGCTGTGGTGTTGCTAGCTTCGGCGGCTATTTGCTGGATAAAGATGTCATTACCATGTCATTTGCCCCGAAAGATGAACACGAAGCTCAGATACAGTTTGCTCTTGAAAGGGGAATTCCTGCTACTCTCTCAGTGATTGGAACGCAAAGGCTGACATTTCCAGACAATGCATTTGATTTGATTCATTGTGCAAGGTGCCGGGTTCACTGGGATGCAAATGGTACTTTGTCTATCGAGTTTGCAAGTGTTATGCACTATTCTGTGTCCTGTTCTCTATGGTTATTTTGACGGTTTTTGGTTAGTGTAGGAGGGAAACCGCTCCTGGAGCTCAACAGGGTTCTTCGGCCTGGGGGTTTTTTCGTATGGTCTGCTACGCCAGTTTATCGCGACAATGAAAGAGATACAAGTGTATGGAAATGTTCGTAATCCAACTCTGTTTCTCTCTTTCATTCATCCCTATAGTCACCATCTATTTTCTTTACTGGACTGCATTTCATTGAAGCTTTAGAGTTTAGACTTCAGCAATAAAATATACTATAAAAAGTGACGATACGGAGCTGATCTAAGTTTGATATTGATCATGTTTCTTCCAGCAATGGAGGCTCTGACAAAATCAATGTGCTGGGACGTCGTTGCTAAGACTGTCGATTCAACTGGAATCGGGCTTGTAATATATCGGAAGCCTATTGCCTTTGTCCGATATTTTAAACGTAAAGAAAACTATCCACGTCTTTGTGGTCCTGCAGAGAGGAAAGTAGGTGCATGGTAATTTTCTGGTTATCCTCTCTCATAGCGCTGCTACCTACCAGTAGCGGTTGTGTAAAGCTTTGGACGAACACAAAACTTGTCTAAGCAGAGAGTACCTTTGGACTGTCATAATTTTGTCTGTGTTTTTGTTACAGGTATGCGCCGCTCACTGCTTGTCTTGCCCCGCTACCTCGCTATAGTTGGCCCTTGCCGTGGCCAAACAGACTTACCAGTAAACCTCCAAGCCTAATGCGTGACCCGGAAGGGGAGGAAATGTTCTACAAGGACACCATTCACTGGACTGCGCTTGTCTCAGATGCCTATCAGAAAAATGCTGCTATAAATTGGTCTACTGTGCGGAATGTAATGGATATGAATGCTGGTTTCGGAGGGTAAACATATCTAGCAAATGAGTTGTTGCTACTTCCATATTTTCATTTTTGTTTTGTCATCAAATTGCTTAGCCATGAGATTCTGGTGGTGCGTTTCAGATTCGCTGCTGCACTTACCGATCAACAACTCTGGGTAATGAACGTCGTCCCCATTCATCTACCAAATACTCTGCCGGCTATTTTTGACAGAGGGTTGATCGGAATATACCATGACTGGTGCGAGTCTTTGAATACCTACCCTAGAACATATGATCTCCTGCATTCCAGTTTCCTCTTCGAAAAACTTCCAGACAGGTACATTATGGTTTCTCACTGCTCTTATGACCTTTTGATTGCTATAGATCATGTAATGAAAGCACGTCAGTATTAGTTTCGCACACCAGTCGACAATTTTGTTGATATTGGTCTTCGATTTTGTCAGATGCGACATTGTAGATGTCGTGGTGGAGATGGATCGCATATTAAGACCCGGTGGATATCTAGTAGTTCAGGACACAATTGAAGTGATAGACAAGCTGAGACCAATTCTGCAGTCGCTTCACTGGTCTACAGCCCTCTACCGGGATCAGTTTCTTTTCGGTAAGAAAGGTTTCTGGCGTCCATCAAGAGCTGCAAGTAAATCATGAACAGAGTTGCTCATCTTAATTTCACCTGTACAATCCTATATTACATATATAAAGTTATTAACCAACAGAAAGATAGAAATAGGAAGTTTTCAACATTTTGGTTCTGTTTTCGACTCACAAAATAAGCATCGACACGATCATAGATAAAAATTTATATTCATACCAGTAATGAAATGATAAACCTTCTCTCATTTTTGCAATCTTCCTTCTTGTTTGAGATAATACAAATAAAATGCAGATTAGTACATCTGTACCTAATCAAGCTTAAACAAATACTTGGAAGCCAAGAAATCCTGCAAACAGGGCAAGAAAAACGACGGGTGTGACGTCATCGTGACAATGGATGGTCTCCCAATAGTGAAGTACTCACCTCGTATTAGGTCCTCAGTGCGATCAGTAAATGTGGTTCAACTTAATGTTTTCTGCCGGTAAGAAACTCAGTTATATCATCGTACCCCATAGCAGTAGCCATGTAGAGAGGGGTGGCGCCGCCGTTGCTCTTGGCATTGACGTTAGCCCCACCATGAACCAAGATCTTAACCGTCTCTAAGCTCCCGCCGACGACTGCCATATGCAAGGGTGCGTGGCCTTCACCGTCTTGGGATTCCAAATCCGACCCAAATCGGATGAGCACCCGAGCAACGTCCTTGTGGCCTTTGATGGCCGCGGCATGCAGGGCTGTCAAGCCATATTGATCACAGCAGTTTATATCCGCGCCATTTTGTAACAACAATTCAACATTCTTCAAATCTCCTCTTCTCGCTGCCATCAACATTAGTTCTCCCATTTCTAGTTTCTACATATCCAAAAAGTATGATCAAAGATCTAACCTTATATAATGTCCCAAAAATCAGTGAGGGTGATCGGAATTTTTTTTTCAATTTCGGCTAAAATCAATAGACTTCTTTGATATTTTCGATGCATCTGTTAAAATTTCGGAGAATATTGAGATATCTATCTATATTTTCATAAATTTATACATCGATATTTTCAATAATAGTGGTATTTTAGACACTAAACACGATAAAACGTGATCATAACACTTAATTTTGAAGGAAAATTAATGAAAATGGCTTGAAAACTTTGAGTTTTAACGAAAAATGATAAAAATGTGTTACAAGTGAATAGTACTGTAATTGATTTTTTTAGAGTAAAAATATGGTTTTTTTTATTAAAATAAACAATACCGAAAGCTTTTCGTTAAAATTCTTTAATTTTTATGCATGTTTGTGTCATTCCTTAATTTGTAACACAAGGTAAGCCCTAGAACACATATTTAATAAAAACTAAAAAAATAAACAACTTACATCTTTGTCATGAGCAAAATCATGGCGCGAACGGCTGTGACCAATAGTTGTCGTGGGGTCCGCACTAGATTTCCTCACCTCGGCACGCCTGCCATTTCCCTTGTCCTTAGAATCCAACGGCTCAGATTCCCTCAGTCCCAGAACATCATCCAGTCGATCACACGCCTCTGCCACGTCTAGCTCATCGCGTCCGTTGGATGGATATTTAGAATCTCCTTCGTAATGCACTTGATCGCTGCTCACACTTACCCCGATCGGGCCAATCCTCAATCCCCCTTCGAGCAGCAAGTTAATCAAGTTCTCCGGGTTATCCAACTGGGTCGCAATCCGGAGGATCGACTCAGCTTCCGCGGGCGGCAACTCGGCGAGAATCGTCCTCTGCCGCTTGATTATATTCCTGACGCCGTCGTAGTCCCCACAAGTAACGGCGTGGCGCAACAGCAAGGGGCCCACAAAGGCGACCTTGAGCTTGATATCGTGAGTGGACCCGCGGGGACACGAAGAGCTGGAGAACCAGTGGTTGATGGAGTCGGAGTGAGTTGACTCGGTGGTGAACTCTGCGGTTCGGATGAGGAATTTGTCGGACGGCGAGCGAGGGTAGGCGGGCGGGAGCTGGGTCTGGGGCTTGAGGATGACCTGGAAGTTGACGTGGGAGAGAGGCGGGATTAAGCCGGTGGGCGGTTTGACGAGGAACTTGTGAGGGGAGGAGGTTTGGACCTTGAAGGCTACGGCGGCGGTGGCGCATAGGGAGGTAAGGCGCACGTTAGCGCGGCATTTGGAGTCGAGTGCGAAGTCGATACAAATTTCTTGCTCCGAAACTTGTACTAGTTTTTTATCCATCGGAATACGGACTGGACTGGATTGGACGGGACTGGATTAGAAGGTGGGATTATCCGAATGAAGGAGGAGATTCGCATTTGCGCTGGCAGGAGATTCGCATTTGCGCTGGCGCGTACCAGTGCTGAAATCACGTGCTTTTGTGGGTCCCACAACCAAAAAGCCACGTCATTGGATTCACGGGACTTTTGTCCTATCCTGTCATGCGCACCGATGTTTGATGAGTTTAAATCTGTTGTGCCCAAAACCCACTGCCCAGCCTGTGATATGCTTATGCATTTGACACCTGTCCTATTTCATAACAACATGAAAAAGAAATGATAGAGCTATATACACACCTATTATACTTCTCACATACCCATTTCAATTTTTGACCGACGAATCGAATAAATTGAAAAAAATTTTGAAATTTAATCTAAATATATGTGAAAGGAAAAGAAGTAACATTTTCAATGGGAAGATGTCGTAATATAAGACAAATAAAAACAATGTTTGAGTCAATCCGTTCAAGCGTGAGTGAGTAAAAATACTTCATTGCGTCCAGATTTAATGGACCTGGACCTTTGTGACTCTAATAATAGAAATCTTGCATAATTATGAATTGTAAAACTCGCAATTATTTTGTTTGGATTTCATACTGTTTATGTGAAAGTTCACCGCATTGCACCGGACGCATAGAAGTTGTATAAGTGATTGATTGGTGTTGATAGTACGTCTCAAGCTTTTTTACTAAATGAATTAATTGGTTAACAAAATTGTCTCATATTTTTATAAATAAAATGATATATTCACACTATCGGTAGAGGCATAGAATAAATTTGTATCAAACTTTTTATTCACGAGACTCAAATTTAAAACTTGTTACTTACCAGTAAAAATATATATTAATAGACCGTGAACTATTGGTACCAAATTTTTGTAGTGATTTCACAATCTTTCATGAACAAAAGAAAACAAATATATAAATGAAAAACAGATGTCGCTAGATCAAATAATCATGTGCAACATCAATTGATTTTAGTTTTAAATTAAATTCTTTAAATTATTAATAATTAGCCAATGTAAAGACGAAAAGCAAACTCGTTATAACTCAAAATTTCAAGTGTATTTAAAGCTCAAAACGTTTTATTGGGTACATGCACATACTTATACCAGATATGGAAATGTATAAGGAAAAACATAGGTAAGTTAGTGCATCCTTATTTTCAAACATTGCCAAGGATGGAAAATGAAACAAACATATGTGAAAATGTCATCTCCAAATGTGTGATGGTTTTTCAAGCACCTATTGTGAATAACTGCTAAAACTACGAAGTTACCATCTTCTTTTTCTTTCACATTAGTGGTATTTCTTTTTCGACGTTAGGAGATATTCAATAGCAAAATCCAAGGTTTAACTAATAATAAATATAGTAGCTTTAACACTACCCTTTTTTAACCAACTTGTATTACATTACCCTTTTTTAACCAACTCGTATTATATTGTACGACCAATTATGTGATACACCCGACATACTGCACTGAGTTGTAAACATATATGTTTGACCAGATCCGGAACTACTTTGAAATTATTTATTTTTGTTGAAGAAAAATTATTTTGAAATTCCAAAAGATATCCTTTGTTCTTATCTAGGGCCAATACTTAACTTCACATACCTAATTAGGGGCACCCTAATTCCAATTGTGATTTGCATAAATAACCCCATTGGAGACCCACCAAAGTTTCACTAGTCACTAGAACACTCTTCTCTCTCTCTCTCTCTCTCTCTCCATGTGGTCACCATGGCTGAAATCACCAAGAAGGGTGCACACAACCAAACCAGCGCGGTTACAGAGGAGCTTTTACTGCTCATCCTTCAAAGACATCCAAAACCTATGCGAACCTGAACCCGCATCCGAGGTCCTAAGCCCGCGGAGCGCGTCCATTTTGCACCGGGTCAAAATATCCACCTCAGCCCTTCGCTTGTGGGCCCACCGAAAAGCGAATCCACCAGACGCCGACCAGCGCGTGGTAATCTACCACACCAGCCTCCGCGTCGTGCGCAGGACCTTCGAGGACTGTAAAACCGTCCGATCCATCCTCCGCGGATTTCGCGTCCCGATCGACGAGCGAGATCTGTCTATGGACGGGAAGTTCCTGGACGAGCTGCAGGCGATTACGGGGAACAAGACTCTGACTCTTCCGATGGTTTTCATTGGCGGGCTCTTCATTGGTGGCGTCGAGGAGGTCAAACAGCTCCACGAGAGCGGGGAATTGAAGAGGCTGATCCAACGGCTGCCAGTGGTGGACCCCAGAGGGTGCGATTTCTGTGGAGGGCTGAGATTTGTTCTCTGCCAGACGTGTGATGGGAGCCATAAGGTCTATGATGAGAAGATTGGGTTTACTCCTTGTACGGTATGCAACATCAACGGTTTGATTAAGTGCCCTTCGTGTGCTCCGGTGCGGCGGCCCCACAGGGAGTGTACCCTCAAGTTTTCCCCCATTTGATTAATTAGTTGAACTCGGACCAAAAAAAAAAAAATTAGAACACAGTTTGCTTTTTTTTTCTTTTTTCCTGGGTTTGTTTATTTGCTTCGATTTGGGGGAATATGAATGTGATGATTAATTGAACTATAATTTTTATTTTATCTAGCTAATTAAGTTGGAATTTTGTTAGCTTTGAGGAAGATCGAATTGTCTTGTTCCATTTTTTTTTTTTTTGAATGAACATCTCTTTATAAAATATTGTGTAAAAAAATATGAGGTGATAGAGTCAGATGATAATATTGAGTGGTGGTATTGGTTCACTAAAAATTTGACAGGTGTATAATTAAAAGGATGTGCTATTCACACACATCTTGTTAATTTGTGGTATTCACATACATTTTTTTTACTTCTCACTCACAAATTAATCTGGTATGTGAAAAATAAAAAAAAGTGTGTGGATGGCATACCCTAAAACCCATCAACTTTTATCATTAACGCAGAGAAGGTATTAAATCCTATTTCTATTCAATGACTTCTTTAGTGTGCAAATCAAAATAGTGTGATATGTCTTTGGGCTTCTTCTTTAGTGTGCAAATCAAAATAGTGTGATGTCTTTGGGCTTCCGCTACTACTAGTTTACCAACCTTTGCAATATCGTTCGTATCAAGTAATCACTACATTTATCGTCTGCCAAAGAAAATGGTGTGATATCTGGCTTTGGCCTCTAGTTCACCAGAAAAAACAAAAATGAGTGTATGTCTAGAGTTTAGAGCTCGTTTAGATGTATTTTTTAAAATGATTAAAATCGTTTTTGATGAAAATGTTTTTAGAACTAATCCTTATTCAAAATAAAGTAAATCCTGGAAAAACACTTAAAATGTTTCCTGGAAGAAGCACATAAATGGTGTTTCTTGCAAAAAACACTTCAAGTGCTTTTGGAACCCAAAAGGATTTTCTCTAAAAAAGTTTTCGATTATTTTAAAAGTACATCTAAACGAGTAAAGGCGAAGCCAGAAAATATTTTATGGGTGGGCTAGCTAAAAAAATTACCCTAAAATCAAATGTTTTTTTTTTTTTTTTGCTACATATGTATTGTATGCAAAAATTTAAGTTTAACTTCTATATTTGTATACTTAAAATTTGTCTGGCAGGAACTAAATAAGTTTCACAATTGCAAACTAACAAAATTACAATGAATCATCTAATTTCACATATATTTAGATTTAAACACAAGAAGAAGATAGAAAACTTGGTATTTCAATTACAACCACACAACTAGCACAAAGTAAAACATTGAAAGTAGAAGTAAAGGCAATATTAACAAAATTGGTTGAAACTAATATAAACCCCATTATATGTGTGACTTACACCGTGAGGTTTTTTATTAATTTGTGCTTCTTTTTTCTTCAAATTTTTTGTTCGATTTTTGCTCATTTATTGGCGACACTCTAATTCTTGGATTAAAACTTCAATTTAAGTTTTGATTCAGAAATAATTTTCCTGCTCCAAATAGGTTAAATTTTAGTTCAAAATTATTAAAAAATTAATTTAGACTTTTTTTTAAATAATTTAAAAAAAAAATTATGTACACTATCTAAACTTAATTTTATAGACGTTTTAATCTAAAAATATTTAGAATCCGATAAATATTGAAAAATCATCAAACCTGACACTTATTAACTACATAAAATTAATTAGTAAATCATAATTACTAATTACTAAACCATAACCTTTAGCTCTAGCAAATATTTTATGCGGGAATTAACGAAAATGTTCACTTGATGTGATTTTATCCTTTATTAAGCCCCGAAACTATTTCTCGTTAATTTTTTGAAGTTGAAAAATAGAAAGGAAAAAGAAAAAAAAAACTAACTGTGGGGTCTCGCAAAGAGATATGTAGGTGTCCAAAATCTTGGGAATATGCTAAATTAATTTTAAGAAACATACGGTGCGAGTAAAATAACTATAACTTTGGCTTATAAGTTTATAACGAATATTGTAAAAGTTCTCAACATCGATTAGAGAACTATGGGTTGTAAATCACAGTTTTTGTGAAAATTTGAAATTTTTAGCTTTAGGAAATATTTGCGTCGGAGTTAAAGAAAATATTGGAAGACCTTTGGACATGATACCATTTATTAGGTCCTGAAACTATTTTTTTATTGATTTTTTCAAGTTGAAAATATGAGAGTATCTTTAAATTTAGGTTTTAAATCATTAATTTCAAGTGTTTAAATATTAATTATAATAGATTTAGCATGGGATAATATATTTTGAAGAACATGAAATTTCAAGTGCTAGCGATTGTAACTGAGTGCAATCGCTAGCACGATGGCAACTCCCTTCAAGGAGGATCGGGATCAAAGTATCGATCGTAACATTTTTCCCCCCCACCTTTTTCTTTTTCTTTTTCCATTGAATTTCTTCTTCTTAGTGCGTTACTTTTGTGACATCCCACATCGCCCAGGGGAGTGATCCTTAAATGTATATTCCCATCCCTACCTAGCATGAGGCCTTTTGGGAGCTCACTGGCTTTGGGTTCCATCGGAACTCTGAAGTTAAGCGAGAAGGGGGCTAGATGCGTGACCCATCAGGAAGTTCTCGTGTGAGTTCCCAAAAACAAAACCGTGAGGGCGTGGTTGGGGCCCAAAGTGGACAATATCGTGCTACGGTGGTGGAGTTGAGCCCGGGTTGTGGTGGGGGCCCGGGTCGGGATGTGACAACTTTATTTAGATTCAAATACCTTTTATATTTGTATCCTTATTTTCATATTTTTTGACATGGATTATAAGAAAATTTTCACCAAAAATACATTTTGTAGAACATCAATATGATAGTTTCGTGTTGTGGTATGGGCAAGACGAAAATTTAACAAAAATAAAAAAAAAATAAAGGAAAACTAATGAAAATGGCTTGAAAACTTTGAGTTTTAATGATAAAGACAAAATAAAGGGTAAAGTGAATAGTACCATGATTGATTTTTTAGTGTAAAAATGTGGTTTTTCGTTAAAGTGAACAGTACCGCGGACTTTTCGTTAAAACTCCCAAAAATAAAACTTTAAATAAATAAAATTACAAGTTTAGACGTAGTCCAAACGTATGCCCACTAGAAAGTTCAAGCCACATTAAAAGCAGTGAAGGCCCATGAGGTTTAGTGTTTAGGGGCACATGAATAGTAACACCATGAGGTTTAGTGTTTAGGGGCGTGTTAATTTTATAGATGTTTTAATCTAAAAATATTTAGATTCCGATAAATATTGAAAAATCACTAAACCTGACACTTATTAACTACATAAAATTAATTAGTAAATTATTAAACCATAACCTTTAGCTCTAGCAAATATTTTACGCGGGAATTAACGAAAATGTTCACTTGATGTGATTTTATCCTTTATTAAGCCCAGAAACTATTTCTCATTAATTTTTTGAAGTTGAAAAATAGAAAGGAAAAAAAAAAAAACTAACAGTGGGGTCTCCCAAAAAGATTTGTAGGTGTCCAAAATCTTGGGAATGTGCTAAATTAATTTTAGGAAACATGTAGTGCGAGTAAAATAACTATAACTTTGGCTTATAAGTTTATAACGGAGATTGTAAAAGTTCTCAACATCGATTAGAGAACTATGGGTTGTAAATCACAGTTTTTGTGAAAATTTGAAATTTTTAGCTTTATGAAATATTTGCGTCGGAGTTAAAGAAAATATTGGAAGACCTTTGGACGTGATAACGTTTATTAGGTCCCGAAACTATTTTTTTTATTGATTTTTTCAAGTTGAAAATATGAGAGTATCTTTAAATTTAGGTTTTAAATCATTAATTTCAAGTGTTTAAATATTAATTATAATAGATTTAGCATGGGATAATATATTTTGAATAACATGAATATGATAATTTCTAGTTATGGTAAGATAAATAAAATGAAATAAAATAAATAAAAAGAAAAAAATTGAAAATAGGGGGATCGGTATGAAGATAGCGACTTTATATGAATAAAATTGCTAGAATGGTAGCGATTGTAAGCCATTATAATCGCTAGAACTGTAGCAACTCCTTTCATAGAGGATCGGGAACAAAGTATCGATCGTAACATTTTTCCCCCCACCTTTTTCTTTTTCTTTTTCCATTGAATTTCTTTTTCTTTTCCCATTGAATTTATTTTTCTTAGTGTGTTACTTTATTTAGATTCAAATACCTTTTATATTTGTATCCTTATTTTCAAATTTTTTTTGACATGGATTAGAAGAAAATTTTCACCAAAAATACATTTTGTAGAACATCAAGATGATAGTTTTGTGTTGTGGTATGGGTAAGACGAAAATTTAACAAAAATAAAAAAAATAAGAGGAAAACTAATGAAAATGGCTTAAAAACTTTGAGTTTTAATGATAAAGACAAAATAAAGGGTAAAGTGAATAGTACCATGATTGATTTTTTAGTGTAAAAATGTGATTTTTCGTTAAAGTGAACAGTACCGCGAACTTTTCGTTAAAACTCCCAAAAAATAAAAATTTAAATAAATAAAATTAATGGTTTAGACGTAATCCAAACTCACGCCTAAGTCCAAACACATGCCCACTAAAAAGTTCAAGCTGCAGTAGAAGCAATCAAGGCCCATGAGGTTTAGTGTTTAGGGGCATGTGAATAATAACACCCTAAGTTCAAGTGTTTAGGGGCGTGTTAATTTTATAGATGTTTTAATCTAAAAATATTTATATTCCGATAAATATTGAAAAATCACTAAACCTAACACTTATTAACTACATAAAATTAATTAGTAAATCATAATTACTAATTATTAAACCATAACCTTTAGCTCTAGCAAATATTTTATGTGGGAATTAACGAAAATGTCCCTTGATGTGATTTTATCCTTTATTAAGCCCCGAAACTATTTCTCGTTAATTTTTTGAAGTTGAAAAATAGAAAGGAAAAAAAAAAAAAAACTAATAGTGGGGTCTCCCAAAGAGATTTGTAGGTGTCCAAAATCTTGGGAATGTGCTAAATTAATTTTAGGAAACATGTGGTGCGAGTAAAATGACTATAACTTTGACTTATAAGTTTATAACGAATATTGTAAAAGTTCTCAACATCGATTAGAGAACTATGGGTTGTAAATCACAGTTTTTGTGAAAATTTGAAATTTTTAGCTTTAGAAAATATTTGC